CCACGCCCACCGCTCTGGCCACGCCCACCGCCCCTAGCCACGCCCACCGCCCTGGCCACGCCCACCGCCCTGGCCACGCCCACCTCCGCGCCCAAAGCGTGCCCGTCACACAGGCCACGCCCACCCCAGGCCACGCCCACCGGAAAAAAGTGGCCACGCCCCCTCCCGGAGATTGGGGTGGGGATGCTGGGCTGGACTGGGTTATACTGGGATATACTGGGAAATACTGGGTTATACTGGGTTATACTGGGATATACTGGGAAATACTGGGATATACTGGGTTATACTGGGAACTACTGGGATATACTGGGATATACTGGGTTATACTGGGAACTACTGGGATATACTGGGATATACTGGGATATACTGGGAACTACTGGGATATCCTGGGCTATACTGGGATATACTTTGATATACTGGGTTATACTGGGATATACTTTGATATACTGGGGTATACTGGGATATACTGGGATATACTGGGTTTACTGGGATATACTGGGATATACTGGGATATACTGGGTTATACGGGGATATACGGGGATATACTGGGATATGCTGGGTTATACTGGGATATAATGGGATATACTGGGCTATACTGGGATATACTGGGATATACTGGGTTATACTTGGATATACTGGGATATACTGGGCTATACTGGGAACTACTGGGATATACTGGGTTATACTTGGATATACTGGGATATACTGGGTTATACTGGGAACTACTGGGATATACTGGGGTATACTGGGATATACCGGGATATACTGGGTTATACTGGGATATACTGGGATATACTGGGTTATACTGGGTTATACTGGGATATACTGGGTTATACTGGGATATGCTGGGTTATACTGGGATATAATGGGATATCCTGGGCTATACTGGGATATACTGGGATATACGGGGATATACTGGGTTATACTGGGTTATACTGGGATATCCTGGGCTATACTGGGATATACTGGGTTATACTGGGGTATACTGGGATATACCGGGATATACTGGGTTATACTGGGATATACTGGGATATACTGGGTTATACTGGGGTATAATGGGATATACTGGGTTATACTGGGGTATACTGGGATATACGGGGATATACTGGCTCATACTGGTTTATACTGGTCTGTATTAAGCTGCAGTGCCTCACACCGGTTTATGCTTGTCCCTAATGGTCTGAACTGATCCATAACAGCCCATACTGGTTTATACTGGTGCATACTGGTCCGTACTGGTCCGTACTGGTCCCCCGCGCCCCCCCCGCTCTCTGATTGGCCGCCGCCCCTCTTGGCCCCGCCCCTGTTGCCGGGCTGAACGGCCGCGCACAAAATGGCCGCCTCCCCACGTGACCGCGCGTTCCCCGCGCTGATTGGCCGTTCACCTCTCCGGCAGCGACCAATCAGCGGCGAGTCACGCGCGGGTGGGCGGAACGGCCGAGTGGGGGAGGCGGGGTGAAGGCGCGCTGGTGGGGGCGTGGCTTCGCGTGGCATCGACCAATGGGCGCGCAGCGCGCGCTGGGGAGGCGGGGATTCGTGGGGCGCTCACCAATGGGAGCGCGGCGCGCGTCCTGGGGGGCGGGGATGAAGGCGGC